CCGTGATCTCTACCTAGAAGTCATTTTTAGATGTTGTTAACAGTAATGTAAAATTGCATATTAAAAGGGATGCATAAAATAAGAAGAAGTATGAATTACCCCGTTGTACGTTTAGAGCTCCCAAATCGAGTGACACATCTCTGGCCAATTCAAAGAGATGTTCTGTGAGCTGATCGTTGAGAATCTGATCCGAACGCTGCCTTTTAGTGGCAGCGAATAGTAATCCTCTGAGCAATGGATCAGTTCCTCCCTCTTCTACCAATCTTTGAGGTGCAAAAAATGTTTGTTGAAGGAGAAGACGACTGTCGTACTGAGTGGTCGGTTCGTATGACTCATTTAATCTCAATAAGAAAGGATTAATCAAAGTGTGACCAAATCTTAGCGCTGCCGTTGCGAACACATTAGCCACCGATGGATTCACTTTATTATCATATCCTTTATATTCGCCCAGTTTTGACATTCCCTTCGCTCANAATACTTTGTAATACAATTTAATTTTAAAACGAATGTTATTGATCTTTGAATGTATTATTTTGATGCAAAATATATAAATTTTCATAACTTCTTATCACCTTTTTAGCAACTTTTTAGCACCTTTTTAGCAACTTTTTAGCCATTTTTAAGTAACTTTTATAGTGACTTTAAGACTGGTTTTTGTCACCTAAAAGTCAATGCTTTATTAATATTCATTTCATGAAGTTTAAAAGAAGCTCAAAAGTTTCAGCCACTTTACATAGTCAAAATTCCAACAATTTTGTATTACAAAATTAAAATGTTGTTAACTTTGTAAAATAAATAATCATTGTATGTAGAATTGTAACTTACAATTTGTAAGTTATCCATTATTTGGAAACTCCTAAAATTTCCATGTTTCCGGGACGGAATTTATAGGGAAACTCCGGAAAATGCATTAGAGAAATGGATAACAGGAGAAAATATTTTTAATGATGTTGCTTATTTTATTTTACGTATTAATTATAGATAAATTGTTTTAAAAGTATAAAAAATTATAAAAATAATCTTATTTAGCATGGTAGTCAATTACTTTTATGTTTTTGATGAATAACAAAGAATTGCTTGTTATAGCATTGCATATAGCATTACCTCATCATTTGAGCGTAATTATTAAATTATGATTAAAAAATAATTTACAAAATGATTTAAATTAAAATAAATTTAACCAAATCTTCTTCTCTATTCTGTTTATGTATTTTGTGGTACATGTAATAAATAAGATAAAAATATTTATATTCATTGCTTCCATTCATCCACGTTTTTGTCTTATTTTCCCAATATAAAGAATTTCCAGCGAAGAACTATTTTCTTAAAATATATTTTTCAAAAATGGGAAATGGAGAACATTAATTATAACAAAACCGCGAACATACAAAAAACATCGGTTTACTGTCTATACTTATTAAGCTGAATAAAGTGCTGCTATCTATATAAACATTGAGTAAAACAATATTCGTCTGCCTGTGTTTCAACTGTTTGACAATTAAGGGAAGCACTTTTTTACCCGTCGGTCCGTTGGTCCGTCGGTCCGTCGATAAAATTAACATGTATGTTTTATATATGTGCTCAATGTAGAATTCATTGCTGAGTTCGAATCTGGAATTCAAAATATTTTATTGCGACTATTTTTCGAGTTATTCGACTTAGAATGTTTTTTATCAAAAATTTATAAATTAACGTAATTTATTAATATGATATATGAGTTCGATGTAGATTTTAACGCTGATTAATATTATAAACTTGGTTTTAAAATTAACTCTATAATTTTCGATCTATTCGACTTTAAAATGTAAAAATTTGAATAACTTTAAAAATAGTTGATGTAGAAGATTGGTAATTTAAAATCCGAAATCGGGGTCTAATTTTACATCGAACTCATATATTATGATAATAAATTACGTTAATTTAAAATTTTTGATAAAAAACATTCTAAGTCGAATAACTCGAAAAATAGTCGCAATAAAATATTTTGAATACCAGATTCGAACTCAGCGATGAATTCTACATTGAGTACATATATAAAACATACATGTTAATTTTATCGACGGACCGACGGACCAACGGATCGACGGACCGACGGACCAACGGACCGACGGGTAAAAAAGTGCTTCCCGACAATTAATGTTAACAACAGTTATATAAATTAGCATTACTTCAGTTATAGTCAACTCATTACAGGTTGTGATTAACACAACACTCTATGACTCATTAGAAAACACCGCCTTTTCATAGACCACACGAATGGCGGCCATCGATACGAACCCTTCGTCACAACTTCGGCACTCTTCTCAACCCTTTGCACCCCTTATGTGGCATACGATCGATGGAAACCATTGGTCTGATTGAATAGCAAACTGTACTGAATGTGTGAGACATTGCAATGAATACAGTGTAGACCTGTTATCACAAACTGTTTCCAATCCTACGACAGTTTGCACTTCAAAATAGTGTTCACAAGTGTTTCTATTAATCAGTGTTAGTCTGTATTTGCATTAAATAACATTCAGAGTGAGACAAACAGACAATAAGTGTACAAAATGTAAGTCAATATAAGTTTCACTTTTTTTGTTGATTGCATTGAAATGATTCAATCATTAATCGATTGATTGATTAGTGATTTGTGTGTAATATAACCGCTAATTGTGTTTACATTAACCAATAGTAGACAACACTTGAGAGATGTCTTGGAATCGATTGAATCAAAACAATGGTAACACTCTATGGATGGGAGACGTAAGTGAAGCGATGTTTGGGTAACTGTTTGTGTGATAATTGTCTGAATGTGAGGAATAGGTGGAGGAAGTGATGGACGAGCGCTTCATTAGGACTTCGTTTCATCTGATGAGTCAAAACCCAACACATGTCAAAGTGGTTCGCCATAAGACTGGGTATGTCTGCCACACATGTCTTATCCCGTTTTGCAGTGATGTATAGTTGCAGTGATTGTATTGTCTTAACAGTCAGGCCATTGGATACGCTTTCATATCATTTGAGAGCCAAGAAATGGCGCTACGAGTGCTCAGAGAACTGAATGGACAACAGATACCAAATGCGGTTCAAGTATGAGATAATTAAGCGTTGAAATGAATCAATTGATTGATGTATTTGTGTATTAAAGGGGAAGAGATTTCGCCTGAATTTGACGAGCAGTCGAGACCGAGAGGACAATGAGTTCTCCATATATGTGGGGGATCTGAGCCCAGAAGTGGATGACTTCACACTATTGAATGCCTTCTCCAAACACTATCCCTCGACCTGTTCTGCGAAAGGTATTTATCAATTGCTATCGATTTGAATAGAGTTTTAATTGTATGATATATTAAGTGATGGTATCGGAGGGTCAGAGCCGTCGGTTTGGTTTCGTTCGCTTCAACGAAGAGAACGATTATCGAAACGCTTTAATACAATGCAATCAATCAACTATTTTGGGTCCCAAACCTATTAGCGTGAAGGCAGCGAAACCGCGCCGTCATTCCCGACACTACAACATTCAACACTATAGTCAGGGCCAACACAAGGGCCGCCCCTCCGAAGTGGTGGGCAACGAGTCATATGTGCCTCAACCACAAGCACTCGCAGAAACTGGCGAAACAGTGTACGCGTCCGACATGAATGTCAATTACGCTCAGGCAATGACTGTCTCCGGCCAACCGATTCTCTTCTACAACCCAATGATGCCATACAACGCCTTACCACTGGCTTATGATCCCTATTCAATGTATGGTCAAACCAGTCAATACGGGCAACCCGTATACTACCCGAACTGTGATATTCCCTATTCACTCATTCCCGGACCGATATATATGGCCGACGGAAACAACCAATACATCGACGATAAACTCAATGAAGAAATGATGGCTAAGAATGAGGTAAATGTTGCGCTAATGTCTAATATATTGAACATTAATTGTAATGACATTGGATTTGCAGGATTTGTACGCGAGTATTGAGAGCAGCCGTTGGTCAACACCAATAGATGGTGAGAAGGAGCACAAAATGCAATAAACTGTGTCTCTATTAACGTATGTTATTATCGATTATTGGCTCAAAACAAATGGTTCTGTGATTAATATTTTGTCGTCAATTAGTATAAAAGAGAAAATTGTTATTTAAAAAACTGATAAAAACATTAAGTCAATCCATCATTACATTAAACTTTGTATGTCTTTCAAAATGTTTTTCAGCAGTTTTACGTTCTCTGTCTTTATATAAAACTAAACATATTTTATATTTGTTTTACTTATTGTTTAATATCTTATAAAATTGTTGTCTTAATTACACCCATAATTCATTTTAGTTAACTGTAAAGCAAAAAATGTATAAACAATTATTTTAATTTTTAAACCATTAACACTCACTTTTAGCTTCTTTTAAAAGTTGTTTTTATCAAACATTTCTAAAATTAACCCAAATTTAAGTTTCCTTTTCTCTTTTATTGTCAATAAAATCTTTGTTTTCATTTGTTTATATTTAAAAGTCTATCAATTTATGCCACGTCTTAATAAACACTAATTGAATTGTGTTTATGTTTGACATTAATGTTATGTTTTTAAGTTATTTGTATAAATGAGTGAACATAGAGTATATCTATCATAATTGTGCGAATGTGTGATAATTTACATATGTTTTCAAGTCATCAAATCTAATGTATTTATTACACTGAATATTATAATAAATGATATGTAAATTTGGTGTCAAATATAGACATTTTATTGAATGACAATTTTGTAGAAAAAGTTTATAAATAAAGAATAATAACTAATTTATTCAATAAATCATTTGTTTTTGTTTGAGTCGTTAACCGATTGTCGATACTTTAGTAAAACTAATTGTTTGTAGTCTTCGTGTCCCCACTTCTCGGCGGCCAAAGCGTCTAAAGGACTGTCCAAATTGGGTTCACCTATCGATCACATTATTAGACAATTATGTATAACAATTGCAAACACAACAAACCTAATAGTGATTGAATCGATATAAGGATTGTCCGCACGTCGTAAAGGGCTGTCCACTTGTCCTGTCATTTACAAGCAATTCATTTGCCATTAAATCAATTGTCGAGAGAGAGAGAGAACAAATACCTTTAATATATCTAAACAAATATCTCCATCACTACTGATATTTGGATGAAAGCAATGGTTAAGAAAGACAACCTCTTCAGGTATTGTCCAATCAATCCATTCTTTAATCGATGCAATCAATGACCTCTTGTTT